CCCGCACTAGCCCAGTAATGGACGGCCTTCACGGGAGATTCGACGACAGTCCTCCAGAAACGCCTCCCAGGCCTGGTGCCCCCACTCCGCCAGAGATCGAGTCGAATGCGAGGCGTCAGGGCATCCATTCCGGGTCAGAGACCGTCCAAGTTGTGGAACGGAGCCATCCCGAGTCATCTGCTGCTCTCGGAGATGCAACGGATACTTTGCACACGGCTCGTGAGGTCTTGAAATTTTCGCTCAAGACGCTCAGCACCGTTTCCAGCAATATACCCTTCGGCAGTATTCTCAGTGGCGTCATCGACCCTCTGCTGGATATTGCAGACCGGATTGAGGTGAGAAAGGTCGCATTTATTACTGTGTTCCTCTAAATTTGGCCGTCCAGCAAACCTCTGCTAACGATCAAGGCATTCTCGAATTAGCTGCAAGGATAAGGCTTCTCGCGCCGGTTGTGTCCGAAACCGCGAAGGATACTTCGGGGCAGGGGCGCAGGATTATCGAGTCCCTCAAACGGTCAGGCATGCATTCTTATCATTGTATATGTCTTCATTTCCCCACAGAGAGCTGGAAGTGATTACGAAGGACCTCAATGTTACTACGCAGCAGGGAAAATTCAGACGCTTCTTTAATAGTGCCGATACCGCATCCATTCTCGCAAAACACAATGCGGTAGTTGCCCAGATGATCGCCGATTCAACGGTTTGTCAATCACACCCGCCGGTTCGAAGCTTCACTTTAATTGAATGTACAGTTTGTCACCATTCAGGAGGTGCTCAAATCCGTGGAGCTTCAGGTAGTTCCAATAGCCTTCGCGCGCATGTAACTGCTGATAATGATACGTTAACACTCAGCGCTCGCAGCTGCTGCAATTCCAATCGGATCCCTCCGCCATATCTGAACGTAAGGTCGTCCAAAAGGTTCCCACAATTCCCTCTCATCCATATCCATCCATTGTAGCACAGTTTGAAATGGGCGATGTCAGAGGTGCGTGGGCACAAATTTAAATTGATTATTCCACCTCACCACTGGAAATATGCATATAGGCGGAGTCGGTGGGGCTGGCGGGGACGCGCACATTGGAGGCGAAGGAGGGGAGGGCGAAGGCCCCAGACTTGACCTGGAATACGAAGGCAGATGGAGAATTGGAGACATTTCCGGTGGGTCTCGTTCCATGCATCTTACTTATCCACCGGCAGTGGTGGACATTCGGAGAACTTATTTCCTCCACACATGTTGGATGCATCCCAAATGTCCATACATATTCACATACACCTCACAGGCGGAACCGGCGGCGCCGGTGGGATGGGCGTTGATATCGGTGGAAAGGGCGGAGCCGGTAGAGCGCCAATGATCAGTGCGGTCCGGAGAAGAACATAGGATTTCGGGTGTGCTCGCTGGAAGAATATGTAGTTTTTTTTTTTTTTTTTTTTGCGTTGGTCTCTTTCACTTTCATGCACAGTACTCGTTTTTTCGTTTCCTATTTATCTTTCCAGCCGTTCTGTCATGTGCAACCTTGAAAACACTAGACATCCGTTATACCCAGAATTCAGCACGCAGATGGCATCATGTTGCCCAAGAGGTATGCACCGGAAGAACCCGGGACACAGCCTCCATAGGTAGGTAGGTCCGAAGCGCTCTTATTTCACTTTTTGGAATTTGTTCAGACAACTCTGAAAATGCATTTAGAAGGGTCAGAAAAAAAATCGGCTTTTTTGGGAGGCCTTGGAGGTTGAAAAATTCTTTTACAACCCTTGTGATCCCTTTTCAGATTTGAAAAATTTGCGCCAATTACGCCTAGGTCTGCCTCCGATTGAGGCCAAAAATTGTGAATTCAGGCGATTTGCGTGGGAACTTCCCTCGCTTAACCTCGCTTAGGCTCGGCTAATAGGTAGGTAGGGTCTGGAGGGTCTTATTTCACTTTTCCGACCCTGTGTGGCAAATTTTAAGGGTGCATACCTCTTGATGTTGCCATTCCCACGGTTTAAATTGTGAGAATGAAGATTAGATATGGATTGCACTATGATGCCCGGCTACACAACGCACCAAACCGTCTCCGAAGATCAAGTCTCCGAAGATCTTGCCTGCTATATTTTATCGCTGGTCGAGGGCACGAGTTCGGCTGGAAATTTCGTCGTGACGCGCAGTAACGCGTCGCGAACGCGCAAAGATCACTCAATTAGAAAGATCGTGTACTCCCACCGGTAGTTTATACCTTGCACAATCGTCAGTGTGCTGCGTTGGGATCCAAATCGACGCGCCTCCGTTGTGAAGAAACATATTCGCCGCATGCTCTCCCCATTCCGGACGCGGACTCATCAGTGGCTGCGCGCACAGAGAAGAATAAATGAGCCCCACATATGCCGCGTCTGCGCGATGTTTATTCACATCTAGTTCTCCTGAAGTAGTGCTTATTCCACAATTTCCGCAGTGAAGTCAGCAACGGTGATTCTTGAGCGGGAATGAGGAGACTCACCGGCCTGCTTGTCGGGGCGCGATGCAATCTCCTACAGCTCCGCGCATCTCAGGCGGCAGCCTCCACCGCAGCTGTATCATGTTAGACGGATGCCCAGATGCTAAGAGTTCGCGTCCGTTGAGGCATCAGCGTCATATTGTTGTGGTCGGCTTGTAATTGGTTGGTTTGCTTGGATTCCCTCGCACGTTGATACCATGATTTTTTCTCTCGTTCGGGATTTGTTGCTCTGCAAAGTTCATGCCACTCATCACCAATTTTTTTCACCAACGGCAGTGCCGCGCAAGAATCATTGTAGTATGAGTGAGTCAGCGGCATTATAAGTCAGAGGCCGGGAACACCAACTTAGACATATCTATAAGCCGCAGGTAAATTTCAAGAGAAAACCGCGTCGACAATTCATAGACAAAAGCAATATGCTGCGTACACCCTCCATGCGGACGCCGGGAGTCGAACCCCGCACGCAAGACATCGGGAGTCGAACCCATCGGCTGTTGGTTATCTACACCGCTATAACAGGGAGCACAGCAGTGCACCGTGCACAATGTCCGCTTCAAATGGGTGTTGGAATGTGGTAAAAGCAAGGTAAAAGTATGCTTTCAGGGTTTAAACATGGATGATCTCCATCAGGATGACATCAGATGGCGCTGACGCGCCAGTCCGATCGCCGCGCATCAGAGAAGTGCCCCCCGCCAGGTTGGTACAAGTTCCTTGAAGAGAATTTCGACCCGGCGTATCGCACTGGTGGATTCCCGACATCCTGAGTATTGTCTAATATCCCAGCCAACCGCAGGGGTGAGGTTAGTAAATAAATATCTGTTGTGTAAAAACTTAGGGCCAGTGATAATAGAAACCGGAACTGGTCAGGATTGATGCCAGTGTTGGGACAATGGCGACGGCGTGGTTTATCGAAGAGGATGTGTCCTTGATGCTTTGGCGAACTGTATATCAAGCCTATTTCAGCGGCGGGACGCCAGTTGCGCGGGGGACGTGGTGGTACATAGGGAAGAGAAGTGGCTGGATGATTGTCATCGTGATCTCATCAGATGCGCTCGGGCGCATCAGTGCCGCCCTTCCCTCGAAATGCCGTACTTGTTCGGATACTAGTACGGTCTCGCTCCACTATTTTGTAGCTCCGCGCACGACGTCCACTTGAACCTCCATGTCCCAACCAACACACGTAACGATTTATCCCCTTAATTGAAATTTGAACCCTTGCAGGCACTTCAACGGTAGCCGCCGCTAAATCAAGATTGTATCTCGTCTTCCAGTGCAGCGCTGAAAATCAGACAAGATTTATAATCTAGAACAAACCAGAACAATGAAAAGTCGCTGAACATGGGGAGACACGCAGCAGAGCCGACCCAGTGCCGAGGATGAAAGAGTATCTTTGCAGGTGGTGGTAACTTCAAATTTAGGCCGCACCTGGCCGCACAGGGTCTGCGAACTGTAAAATCAAAATAATCAGGCAAGTGCAGGAGCAAGGGTTTATCGGTCGTGAGTCTAAAACCAACAATTGGAGGCTAACTGATATCCCACCCCAAACAAGCAAATTTCAGTCTAATAATGATATTCGAAACTCAGATCTAGAGAAAAAGTTGAAGCCGCTCAAGTACTGTTTGACTCAACATTCCGGATCCTTGATAACAGCATTGCGCCGCGCAGCAGATGTAGATGTCATTGAACATGTGTGTTCATGACCTGGGTGTGCTCCCTCTCCAACCAGTGATCAACTGGAGATCGTTCGCTCCGATTCTGGGGTTCCGTCACCGTAAAGCACCGTAAACTGTACGGCCGTAACCGTATACGGTACGGTGGCGATCCCTACAAGACGAACAGACTGTCCCCGCGACTGTCTGCAACGAGAGGAGAATGTGTGAAATCTAGACGAGCCACATCAACACACAAACCTGTCTCGAGGCTTCGTAGCGTGTGGCACGCATCCGCTCACCGTAACTGAAGAGGAGACATTGCACCTGTTCGAACCGGGCGCCAGCCATACACAAAAGGAATGTGGGTTTTTTATTATCTTGCTTCGGATTCGATGGAATGAAGCACTTGAGTCCCACTTCGTGATCATCGTGCTAGTGGAAGGTGAATCTTCTGCACGGCTGAGTGAAAATATTTAGAGTCGGAATGAGCAAGATGAGGTACCAATTCGACTAGAAAGACTTGGTAGCGCGTGGCGTGCATCCGTGCAACTTAATGGTTAAGGAGAGATCCAGCCGACCTCACCTGTTCGAATCATGTCCAAGCCATGGCGACGAAGTTTTTTTTGCTCTTTTTCTTGTCCGTCCTGACGTTTGATACATGTAGTCAGACTGTCGACTCTTGGCGGCAAATAATTCGTCCGTAAAAAGAGACGCTGGAGGAAGCATTCGTAGCGTGTGGTGGGCATCCGCAAAGCGGGAGTGAAAATAGTGCGAATCAGGCCTCAAGGTCGGAAGAGGCAGGACGGGTCAAAAAAGCGTATTGAATGCACGGCCGCAATAAATCGATCGCAAGGAAGACGTACCAAACCACGTTTCAGGGCTTGGTGGCGCGTGGCGCGCATCCGTGTAAATTTCGAATGCAAAAACGGTTCAAGCGGATCTCACCTGTTCGAATCAGGTCTAAGCCCATAGTACGTGTAGCCATTGCCGTTTTTTTTTCTCTCCTTATCGGGGACTGAGTCGGGGCTGGTCATAAGCGGTTGGGAGGTCGCTTCCCAGAAAGTTTGCAACAGTGATTATAACTATGTAGTAGGCGAAGAAGAGCTTCAAGAGCACTACTTCCAAGATTTCTTGAGACTCCGGAGTCCGTCTTTACGTTTCTGGGTTGACTTTGCGCGTAACGTTTGGAATGGAGGACAGGAAGGTAGACGTACCGAGCTACTGTACTATTAAGTTCAATTCGACATGGGGTGTGACCCGTGACGTTTCGAACCAAATTCGACAGCCGACAACCGGTCGTGGTGACCGTGACGGACGGCCAAAATTCGACAATCTTCGACACAAAAACGCGAAAAAAAACAGCACTTCTAGGCGAGCCGCCGGGGATGTCACGGTGAACCAATTCGACAGTTGGGCAAGGTGACCCGTGACATTGAACAAAGTTCGACGTCGACAAGGGTGCCCGTGACCCGTGACTGTCGAACTGAACTTAATAGTACAGTAATTGTCAAGGCTTGGAAGCGCGGGGTGTGCCCCCACAAACCGGGAAGAAAATTCCCAAGCACTCCAGCGGAGTATGCCTGTTTGAATCAGACCCAATCCATCCAGGATATGTTGGAAATATTTTATTTTGGTTTATTTTTTTGCTTTGGAGTCTTCGGTTCAGCAGGAGAGATATTTCGCCCAAAGTGCTGAATGAAGATTCAGAGGAAGAGGCAGGCGCGCTAAGAGACTGTATCGTCTGCTCGCACCAGATCAGACGGTGCACCAACGCGCAAGAGTGACCGAGAAGGCTCGGTGGCGCGTGGAGTGCGTCAGCATACAGCAGGTGATAGTGTCCATATGCATCTGCGCAGGATGGTGTCTGTTCGAAGCAGACTCAAGCCATAAGTCTGCTATCTTTCACTTTTTGTTTGAAGACGGAGCCGATGATATAGTGGCGGAAGAGCATGAGAAGCGGATCGTGGGCAAATGCGAATAATACCCAGGCGTCTTTCCTGAACGAATGCAGAAGTTGACCCGCCGTTAGTGCAGCTTCTTGGAAGAAAATGATTCCAACATGAACATACTTTATCTTACGAATTTACCCACCCCTTTGGAAGTCTAAATCTAGGGCGACGTATTAATCAGATCAGTAAAGCGCTTTGGTTCAGTGAATGTGTACTCCAGACCTACATGGCGACCCATGACGGCATGAGCTGGTGACAACGCAAAGTGGCGGGGTGGGCGCCCTCCCCGGCGGGCGGGGATCAGCTTGACTTTCCGGTTGATGGATGAATGGTAGATGGCGGGAAAATAAAAGTAGGCAGAGAAACCTCAGCTTGCGACAGATAACGATTGGAGAGCGCGAGGTACAACTGCCAGCCCAGATCGCGATCCTTGGATGACAGATGTCTTTGGGTACGTTCATTTTCAACACGACCACGGCGGTCGTTGGCCGGCTAATGACGCCGCCTGCTAACATCCCGATGGAATGGTTGCAGCGAGGCAGTGTCTTCAGGGGATGCAGACATATCGTGGGGGGGGGGGGGGGGGGATGTATTATACTCGTGGTTGTGGGGGAACATGGTTGCAGCCTGCAGGAAGTGCGTGACTGGAGTTGAGCGTACCGATGTGACCCAGATCATGATTTTGTGACTCGGCAACACGGAATCACGGTTTTTCTGCTTTCATCCTCCACATCGTCCAATGCATCCGGCGCTGGAATGGAGGAATGTAGCCAGGCTACCCGCCAAATATCAGGTTAAGCTTGTCACTAATCCATCTTCTTTCACTGACTTGCCGTAGGATCTCGCCCGAGCTGCTTGCGCGCACTCCGAGTCTGCGGATGCGGCAGCCGCTTCGGGGATTCCTATGAGCTTGTTGGTGCAAGAATTTGCTCTACTGTGGGATAAATCCGACATCAGCCAGGCATTGTTGTTCCTACCCGTACTTCACAGGATCTTAGATCCCCCGGAATCCATTTTGGATTGTACTCGTCTCAGTGATGAGGCTGTGGAGCGGATGTGCAGGAACAAATCTCAGATCACTGGAGCCATAAAAACCCTCTACTGTCTGGAAATACCTATTCGGCACTCACTCATCGCAAACGACATCCGTGCCGAACTTTGGGCCCGGATGTGGCCTTGGATCGTCTTTCAAAACCGATTCCTGCATGTACTCCGTGTTGGTGATCCAAACCTGGAAGTTCAGGGGTGCTGCACGCATCTATCGCTGCTTCGCCACCTTGCCTTCGACAAGCGTTTTGAAGCGCTCGACACCATGGTGCATCAAACACACGACGTACGCATGCTGATCACGCGAATCTGGCACCGCTTTGTGCATGATGCTGCACTCCGTCAGAATCAAGTCGCTGCCGGAAATCTGGGGGATCTTCTTCTGGCATTCATGGGGATCAGCAACACCAGTGACCTGAAGGAACTCATACAGGGCGCAGGCGGCACCTTATTCGATCTGGGCTCGCTTGTCATCAAACATCTCGCCGTTATCACCTCCACCGCTTACACCACCTTGCCCATGAGTACGATTTCCGCCCTCCTCAGGATCATCTGCAATGATGATCACACCGTGGCAGAGACCCTCGTCGCACAAGGCTTGGTGAAACGGCTCGTGCCTCTGCTGCTGGCGATGCAAAGAGCACCACGTAAGACGGGAGACTTTATCTCCGCTGTGCACGAGCTTTCATACTGCACGGTATCGATGTGCATCCGCCTCCCCCCGGGACGTTCAAACGCGATCGCAGCCGTCAGGTCGGGGCTCCTTGGGTGGATCATCGGTTGTGCGTCGCGCGAGCACGGCAACGTCAAATTAATGGGTCAAGTCGTCGACGTGCTACCCGTTCTGACGGGGCACCTCTGTTATTATTCCTTCGTTGACGCCGTTCGACACCAGTTGGAGAAGCTCTCCGAGATGGAATTATCCTCCCATCTCATAAATAGCCCGTTCTGGCATGCATGGAAACAGTTCGCAGACCTCGCACGCGAACGGCTTCAGGTCGCAACGGAATTCGACAATACGCCCTCAGTGATCAGGTTTTGCGACAACTTAGTGGTATGTTCTGACGTGTCTGTAATATTTCCACTGAACGCCTCTGCTCAGTGTAATGTGTGGGCTGACAAGCAGGACACGAAACGTTGTGCCGGGTGCGAGAGCAGATATTACTGCTCTATTCCTTGTCAAAAAGCGGACTGGAAACACGGTACTTCGCACAAGCGGTTCTGCAAACACCTCAAACCCAAAGGTGAGGGTTGCTTTTTCACCTGTGGTCGTGTATTGCTGAAATCTCCCCAGGGGCTCCTGGCTTGCCCACCCGGGACAAATCTTTCCTCCGCCACCTCGTACATGCCAACTACATGCACAACAAGCTTTTGATTCTCAGGATGCAGATGAAGCACATGCTCGCGATGGGTAGTACTTCCGGCTATTTCACCGATTTCGACTACAGACACACACCGGTGCGCGTCAGCGTGCACGACACCGAAGAGCTCATCGACGCCTCCCGGCGGGAATGTAAAACTTCGGCGACCGAGATGGTCGAGCGCATGCGCTGTAGTGGCGGGCGATTTCATATTCACCGCGTCACCGTGCCGGATGGCGGGGAGGATAGGTATTGGACTTTTGGGTTGCGCACGACGAGCACCGAGATGTACGAGGGGCTGCAGGAACTCGTCGAGATGTGTGGCGAGGGTGGAATGGGGGAGGATATCTACGTTCCGATGCTCGAAGTTTTGATTTCGGCGGACAAAGCCGATGGGAAGCTGGTTGAACTTCATTCGTATTAGCTTTTCAGACTTATGACGTTCTATCACATATGGAAATTCACCCCGGTGAAAAGGCGAGACCGAGCGGGCCAGTAAGGAAACGTCGAGAGGAAGGGAGTCGCACCCATCAGTTGCAGTACTTATCCTCCAGATGATACGCAACACGGTACAAGCGGCTAGACTCGAGGTGATGTTCAACTCACATGGAGCTGTGATTTTTTATTCATTAAGCATTGCACAATGTTTCGGGTTAGAAGTTAGAACAGGCAACGATGGAAACTCAACCCTACCTGCGTGAATCCGAAATTGAAAGCAGGTGTGGTTGAGATTGATGCCCCCAAAAAATTGATTTGTTCGCCGTTCACAGGGCCAGCGATACTGTGAGGACGAATACTGGGATACATTTTCGTCCATATGCATGATCACATGGCGGCAAAAAAATATGGAACCTGCTCAGGAAGTTATCGACGAATGAATTACGGCTCGACGTAAAAATTGCCGATACGCGGGACGTGCGTTTTAAACTGTGGCCGGGGTTACCGAGACCCAGACTATGGGAGTAAGTTGTGAGTTGAATTCACACTGCGTCGTAGTAAATGTGCTGCGTCAGAATTTCCAACGTACTTTCGCCGGCGGGCGAGAATCGCAAGACACGGTGAACGGCCGATAAGTGGCAACAATCGGAAATGCAATGTTTTCGCGGGCGTTGTTCGACTCCTGTTTCAATGGACATCCTGTAAAACTCCTCGGGAAACGGAATTTTGGAGGGGACTGTGAGGGAAACATCCAGAAAACTGTCATGTAGCCGGTTCGATTGCAAAAATTCGCAAAGAAATCGGGTCTACAAGCTTATTACTGTCCGGTTTTGGGGGGTTGCCCATCTACCTGAATGTGTTGGAAGCATCATACCCCATGCGAAACTGTGAGGCTGGGCAGGATCTCAGTATTGGCACAAATGAATGTTGGGAATTCTCACTGGCAATAATTCCCCCCTGGCGTTCCTTGACGAACTCCTCTGCTCTGGCCCAATAGTCCCACCCAGTCCGCACACCAACTTGCCAATCCTTGACAAAATATCTGCAACTCAATGCAACAAACCTCAGATCCCTGATCAGGTCCTCGCTGTACCAGTGATCCGGCCGAGGGCCAAATTCCTGGAGTTGGATGAGGAGGGCTAATGAATGACATGATTGCAGGAGGGCAGGTGC